GAACTCATATCAGATGAGTCCGGTAGAGAAGGAACATGTGAAACAGTCAGCGGACGATATGTTGGCAGCGGATATAATCTTGCCATCGACCAGTCCTTGAGGTACCCTGTGGTGCTGGTGAAAAAGTCAGACGGTAGTCCAAGGTTCTGTGTTGACTTCCGTATTCTGAAGAAGGCATCGGTGTCTGATGCATACCCGCTTCTGCGAATGGACGATTCGTTGGATGCATTGTTGGGTGCTAGTTTTTTTCTATGCTAGATTTGCTGTCCGGGTTTTGGCAACTACCCCTGGATGAGTCATATAAACCAAAAACTGAGTTCCGTATGCCTCACAGACTGTATCAGTTTAATTGTTTCCCTATGCGGTTGCATTCGGTGCCTGCCACGTTCAAGAGGCTCATGGAGTTGGTTCTGGCAGGACTGCAATGGAAATCGTGCCTCATTTATTTGGATGGTATGATCGTGTTTGGTCGCACATTCGAGGAGCATTTGCAATGATCGCGTACGGTGTTATCGAGGGTATGCTCTGCTAATTTGAAATTGAAGCCCACTAAATGTAATGTATTACAATCCTCTGTACGGTATTTGGGACACATTGTGAGCGCATCTGGAATAGCGACAGACCCCGACAAAATGGCGTGTGTGCGGGATTGGCCAACCCCAAAGTCTGTGGGTGAGGTGTACAGTTTTCTCGGGATCGAGTCCTATTATCGACACTTCGTTCCACGACTCGCGACCATTGCAAAGTCCTTGAATGTATTGACTGCCAAAAACCAGAAGTTCAAATGGGGAGAAGAGGAAGAGGTTATGTTTGTCACACCACGTGACTGCCGCTCCATTTTTCTCTGCCCTTCATCCTATACATGGACGTGAATGATCTGGGTATAGGGGCTGTGCTGTCTCAAGTAAAGAATGGAGTCGAGAGGGTAATCGCCTATGGTAGTCGTGTTCTGTCACTGGCTGACCAGCGGTATTGTGTTACCCAGAGAGAGCTGCTGCCAATGTTCTGTTTTATACAGCAATACAGGCCCTTCCTCAATGGCAGAGACTTCGTGGTCCGCACTGACCATGTGGCCCTGCAGTACTCTCTGCGGCTAGACCAACGTGCCGGCCAGCTCTCACGCTAGTTGGAAATACTACAAGACACAATAACGAGGATGTGTTATCTCGGCTGCTTCACGGGAACTGTGTGCATGTGCGTCGGGCGGGGCACGCTGTAAACCATCTGCATCTGTGTCACCGGCAGTCGTGGCTTCTCTGAGGGAAGCAGAGCCTACCGCGGTGCATGGGCATAGAGACAGCACACTGGGGCTGATGCATGCAGAATGGGGACAGCTGCAGTTGGAGGATGGTTCGTTGTTGGCTTTGCAGCATTGCACGGAAACAAAGCGGAATACCCCTGCCTCGGCAGGAATCTCGCGGTTCGTTATCCACGATGGACTTTTGATGCGGTGGGATGGCGTCACCCATCATCGGTGCCTGGTGGTCTCCACTTCCCTATGGGGTATGCTGACGCGTGTAGTGCATCACATTAAGCTACTGTACCTTGGACGCTGTAAGACACTTTTGACCTTGCAGTGAGATTTTTATTGGCCTAGAATGTCGACCGAAATCCATCACTTGGTCGTGGGTTGCATGGAGTGTCCACGCCAGAAGCCCCCGTTGCAAAAATCTTAGCCCCCTTTGCAGTCCATCACGATGTCCCGTATCAACGAATTGGTCATACTAGATATCCTGGGTCCCTTTCCCTGTTCACAAAAGGGTAACAAATTTCTCCTTGTGGGGTGGAATATTTTACCAGGTGGCCAATGGCTTGGCCATTACCAGACCAGACAGCTGCATCCATTGCTGACGCATTCCTACACGGCTACGTGTTGGACAAGGGTTCCCCAGAGCAGCTTCTCCCTGACCAGGGTCCAAAATTTTCATCTAAGCTGCTGCGGAAGGTGTGCGATGCATTGGGTACTAAAACGATTAGAATATCCCCATACTATCCTCAAATGGATGGGATGGTAGAACACTTGAATAGGATGATAACAGCTATGCTCTGTCAAGCAGTGAATGAGGCACAAACAGACTAGGACTTGCATGTCCCAAATAAATACGGGACGTATCCGTGCTGCTGCAGGTTACGCTCGACCGGGTGTCGGAGGCACATGCTGTGGAAAGGGAAAATACTGCCAGGGCACAAGCCGCTAATGAGAAGAGCACAGGGTGGCGTGAGCACGTGCTTCCTTTGAATGTCGGTGACAGAGCGTGGCTGCATTGTCCTCAGGTGCCGCTGCGGACATCACCTAAGTTTCACCACTCGTGATGAGGACCAATCGAGATTGTGGAAGTCAATCGGCCACAGTGCGTGCGAGTACAGGCGGGGCGTCGTCATTGGTTTGTCCACCCATCACGCCTCAAACCATACTTCCATCCCCGCCCAAATGCATTGTGCTGCCAACAGAACGCAATCTTCTGAGTCTCAGAGGCCCACAAGAATCCACCACATGCGGTGGACCGGCGTCAAAAACCCAGTCGAGTACTTTACGGCTGCGACAGCAGCCCTCCAAACCACAAAGTGGACTTTCGATTCCCAAGGCCAAACATTTTTTTGTACGTATCCCACTACAGTTGTTGTTGTTCATGTGAGGTGGCTTGCACCACTTACTCGTCATATTGTATTGTTGTTGGTTTCCATGGTCAAGCGACGAGTTCTTTCTATGCGGATGTGGTTTTTCATTCTGTTGTAATTGTTGAATTATTTTTTAGTCTTGGTATTAGCCGGGACGGCCATATTTTTAAGAAGGGGAGGGAGGGGGTGATTTAATGGCAAGAGCCTACATGCGCTGTGAGTGGACTAGTGGCCCCGGGAGGTAATGACAGGGGAGTCAGCCTACAGTGCAATTGCACTAGTAGCCACGGGAGGTAATGACAGGGAAATCAGCCTACAGTGCGAATGCACCAGTGTCCATGGGAGGTAATGACAGGTGTATCAGTTGTAACTGCGACGGGACTGGTGGCTACGGGAATGATGGAGAAAGGAGTGTGGTCAGGTGACGGAAGAGGTGGGTAGAGTCTGCCGGTGGAGCGAGCATCCAGAGTCAGCAAGAATGAACGAGAAGGGAGGAGTGGCCTCGGTTGGTATATAAGGGAAATGCACGGGAGACTCAGGGCTGTTGCAGTGGGGTCTCCGCCTGATGTCAAGTGAACGCGTCTTCAATAAAGTGCCATCTCAAGAGAAGCGTGTCAAGTCGTTATTACACATGCATATAATTTCATGTATACACAATTACATGCACACAATAAAAATGCAGTATGGTTGCTGCAATGTGACAATACTAGAGAAAAGGTAAAATAGAACCGGCACAATAATATTGTTCAGTTTGCTATATTGTCATATTTCTAGAGAATGACTCAGAAGCGCCAATGATTAGAAGACCTTTAGCAGGCTTCTGTTAGTGAACTGCTTTTTTTATAAACGTAATGACATGTATTTGTAGCACATAAAGAACACGATGAAAAAGTTAAATAGAATTACAAAGTAGATTTTAAAAATATCATGGTAATGATCATATCATTATATGCAATATTGTATCATAAAATAAGTGATTGCAGCAACCCTAACATATACATGCATGGGTGAAAGATATCTGCTGAGTGCATCACAACCTCAATAATCTTGTGCTCCATGCTTCTATGTCGAGGTATTGCCCCCTATTCCTGGACAATAACGTCAGTTTGGTTAAGAAAGTCTACATGTGTACTGCACACACAATGACTTAGTCCTAAAAAGTGTTATTTCATGATTGGATGCTTCAATAGCGGGGAATGCCAATGTTCGTGAGAGCCATTCCTCCTATTGGCCATCTGTCAAGTCTGCAGGTCCCTTGATCACTTGCGTGTTTATTTCCACGCACTTACTAGCAGTCATTAGCAATTTTTTGTATTCATTATATTTTACATTCTCACATTACAAGCAAATAAATCTACAGTGCCAAACCACGTGCTATTGTGTTTATTACTTACATCGTGGGGGGAAGGGGCAACTTCCTGCTATGATCCATATTTGTTTTTAGCCGAGGCTTTGTGGTAGTTTATGCCAACATGTTTTTCATTAAGCCTGAACCACAATTACAAGAAGCATGGCAAGAACCTCCCTCGTAGTTAAATAAAAAAAAAACGACCATGGTACTGGCTACAAAATACCGAGGTGTAACTTCCTCCTGTGCTTATATCGGTAGGGGGAGATTCCACATTTTTAGCAGTGGGCTGTATGTGATGGTTTTTTTCTGGTGTGTGCGGTCATGGGTGGAGGGATTTAGAGAACCTACTATATTTGTTGATAGTCTGCTATTTTAATTATGGTTTTGTAGCTGAGGTGATCCAGTGCAGAAAAGTTAAAATGCATGTTAACTGAGTAGAATCTTTTCATGTATTTAGGAGTTCTTTCTATGCTCTTATAAAACTAAAAACTGATGCACTTTACATAACGTACCTGAAAACCTTGCATGTTTATAATGTGCCACAAAATCACTCAGGAACATGTCGTTTATATTAATGGATTAATGCATTAATTCACGTGCAGTCATGCTTTAGCAAATCCAAGTATTTGATGCATGTTTACTAATTTAAGAAGCATAACTGAAGTTCACAGACTTTGCCCTTTAAAGGAAGAGAAGTGCTCATGGCTGCGTGTAAGCGCTTAAAGACAGAAGTGACCAATCAGGGAGCTGCACATTTGACAGATGACCTAAAAGAGGCATGGCTCATACAGATTTGCATTGCCAGTTATTTACGTATATTACCATGAAATATCATGCCAAATTAATGCGTGCACAGTGTAAATATGAGATGTGTACAAAAGCTGCCATGTTAATGAATCACAGCCGAGGATTCAAACAGAAAAACAAGGGTTCACATAAGAATACAAGGATGCACACACAAACATAATAATTCACACATAAATACTTATTGTGACAGAATGTGTGGCTTGTAGTAAGGGGCAGCACTCACCTATCCCCCCTTCCTTGTGGAAAGTTTTTGCAAGGACAGATCTCTCCTCGACGTTGTATGGATCACGGATGTTGCTCATCCTCAACAGGGTTGGTATGGTGGAATTGTCAAACCTATAAAACATGATTGAGGATGAGAGTTTTTTAAGACAACCCTCTGCTATCATACATATTAAATCACGTAAATTCCATTACTACACCATGTGATTTTTAAAAAGTGTGTTTGGATATGGTTTTCATGACCAGTCAGACTTAAGCACCCTAAACCGATTCATCATCATCAGCCATGTTCAAACTATTACTGGATGAAGGATTCCCCAATCTACCACCACCTGTTATGACTGTGCAATGTAATAATCCATACAGCGCCTGTCCATCAGAGCCGCTTTGAATAGCCATAGTCTTATTCATATTCTTGGTTCTTTCGGTAAAGTCACGTAGAAGGGAAATAATAAAAGAATATTAATATAAAATAATACAAATTCTCACGACGTTCCGACTGCAACACAAGCAATCATCATTAGGTGTGAAATCCACAGAAAGAAAATTTGAAAAAAGTGGCGGTTTTTTCCTAACGTCAGCACCATAGACAGCGATTTGGCAGTTTGCCAGATGGACGAGTCCATCTATATTCGGAAAAAAGGAGGGGGGAGCAGAAAATGGAATGCGGTCTGAAAGTCACCGTAAGCGTGAACACAATCAATTAAGACCCGAAATGGTTGATTTAATCCTTCCAATGATTGCTGAGCCAGAATCCATCTTCTCGGTTGAAATTGTCGCTGTTTGTATATGTGAATAGCCTCATTAACGAACCTCTCATGGTAGCCAGATGGCTTGCAAAGAACCTCTGTCATGGAGAAATCAATGTCATGTGAGCCCACTGAATTATAACAGTGATCTGCCACGGCCGAGGTGTTGTTCCTTCCGTGTTTTAGGTCTGCATTATGTTCACGGATGCGGTCAGAGACATGTCGTTTGGTTTCTCCAATGTAACAGCTACCACAGAGGCAACTCAGTTTGTAAATGCCAGGGTACTGTATGTCCGGAATCACATCTTTTACAGACGGAACCAGATCACGGATTTTATGTAATGTGTTGAATCGGACCTGGATCTTGTGTTTATTCAAGATTTCGGAGATCTCTTTTGTGATCCCCGCAATGTAGGGTAGGTGATAGTTTTGAATGGCTCCTCAAGAGGGTCCTTTTTCATGGTTGGAGTGATGGCTTTGCGGATTGTGTAGTTGGAGTAACCATTAGCCTTAGGAGCTTGGTGTACGTGCTTGAGTTCACTGGCAATGTGTTCCTGGTCAGAGATGCATTGGGCTCTATGGTGCAAAGTCTTGATTAGGGAATTCTTCTGCTCCAGCAGCTGCTCCAGCAGCTGCTCCAGCAGCTGCTCCAGCAGCTGCTCCAGCAGCTGCCCCAGCAGCTGCTCCAGCAGACCCACCTCTCTCTCTGCCAACCCCCCCCCCTCTCAATTTAAGGCCTCGACACAGAGACATTGGGTCTCTGTGTGTCTATGTTGTGTGTCTCTCTCTGTGTGTCTGTGTTGTCTCTCTCTGCTTGTGTGTCTGTCTGTGGGTCTCCGTGTCTGTGTTCTGTCTCTCTCTCAAATTTAGTTCTACCTGATGACGGTTGCTTGTGTTGCAACCGAAACGTCGTATTCTATTATTTAATTTATCTTCTGTCTACGTGACTTTACCGAAAGAACCGAAGTGTAATTCCTGCAGTCAAGAAAGCTTCAAATCAAGTTTGATACGTATATTATTATCATAAAAGATGCAACAAAAGCTATTCAGACAGACTACTTCACAAATTAGGACAATAATTGCCGGTCTCTGCATATACAATATCTGTAAACCGCCAACAAAAACCTGGCACCTACCACCATTGTAAGTGATGCAACATCCCATGATCTACATAGGCGACTTCAATAGCCATCACACTATGTAGGGCTACCTAGTTAACAACCTGGCAGGCAAACAATCCTGCATTGGGCATCTGCACAAAACCTCTTCCTCGTTTTTGATGCCAAGCAACAAGGCATATCCCACTCTGCACGGTGGAATAAGGAATATAACCCAGACCTGTGCTTTGTAATCAAAGACAAGAATGGCAAGCCTTTGCCCATCATGTGCAAAGTCCTGCCTTGTTTGCCGCACAGCCAACACAAGCCCATGGTCATCCATGTTGGCCACGAAATCCCAGTAATCACCAGCACACCAAGACCCCACTGGAACTTTGGACGGGCAAATTGGCCTAGTTTTATGGCTGCGGTGATAAAGAACATCAACCACATCTCCATGAACCCTGAAAACTTTGAGCAGTTCATCGCGCTCATGAAGAAAGTTGCCAGGGATCTGATCCCGCGGGGCTATCGGAAGTCATACACCCCTAGCTGGACTGCGAAAAGTGAAAACCTACTTCGAGAACCTCAAAGCACCGGCGACCCAGAGATCGCCACAGCCCTTCTGCAGTTACTAGATTCTGCCAGATGAGCAAAGTAGGCAGCAATGATGGAGGCTTTTGACTTCATGCACTCCAGCCGCAGGGCATGGTGTTACTGCGAAAACTCGGTGGAGCAGCACCCTCAGAATATCAAACTCCTAAGGCAACTGCTATTGGAAAAGCGGCGCAGCTTCTTGACAATGAAAAAACAATCGGAAGTCAAAAACAAGAACGCACAGTAAAACAATTCGCAAAAACATACACTTTCCACCAGTGTCAAAAACTCTCCTCTGTTTGCAGCTGTGCTTCTGGAAGAAATATATGTCGCACTGACGGTAACAAAGGCAGGTAAAGCCACAGGAATATATGGAATTTACCCGGAATTCCTAAAACACCTTAGCAGCAAAAGAACCTGGCTGGCAAAACTTTCTTCAAAAATCAGCAAGCTACCAAGACTTTGAAGAAACGCAAAAGTCATTGCTCTCCTCAAGCCAGAAAAAATATGCTGATAACCTGCACAGCTACAAGCCAATCTCTCGTCTTCGTACAGCCTACAAGCAACTGGAGTGAGTACTGATAGCTCTCCTCTCTCCTCTCTTGGAAGCCACCATACCACCTAAGCAGGCAGGTTTTCATCTACAACAAAGCTGTCGTGACCAGGTCCTCGCCTTGACATCACACATCGAAGCCGGCTGTCAGCATAAACAGAAAACAGCGGCTGCTTTAATAGCCCTGTCCTCTGCATACGACACGGTGCGAAAAAACGGTTCGCCTCATCGCCAGTATGCTCAGTAACTGAAATTTCGTGTCTATCTCGTAAACCAGATCAACCTTCCACGAACTCTACAAAATTGCCCACCGCAGAGGTCGGTATTAGCACCAGCCCTGTTTAATCATTATACCAGCGACCACATTAAGCCGCAAGTTCATTTAGGCAGACAATATAGCACTGGCCAATCAAGCGACGACACTCAGCGCAGCTCAAAACATCTTGAACACCGACCTAAAGAAATTGGAAGATTCTATGGGAACCTCATTTGCCAGTAAAAATATGATAATTGTTTTTTTACCCTTTTATCTGGCAACAAAACTGACACCTTTTTACAAGGAGTCATGTTTGCATAGACCGCAATACCTGCAGTCATAATACAAACAAAAGAACATAACTCTGATAATGTGCACTGTCCTTGAAGTTGATTGGTCCACACCCGAGACAGCTTTCCTTAGAACCTAGTCTCACATGGGTTGGACCAGATGACGCCAAAAGGCGCACAACTCAAAGACAATGCACCATCAAAGTATGAGAGCTCGGGGCAAGCATCTACACGATGGGAACCTCATTTGCCAGTAAAAATATGATAATTGGTTTTTTACCCTTCTATCTGGCAACAAAACTGACACCTTTTTACAAGGAGTCATGTTTGCATAGACTGCAATACCTGCAGTCATAATACAAACAAAAGAACATAACTCTGATAATGTGCACTGTCCTTGAAGTTGATTGGTCCACACCCGAGGCAGCTTTCCTTAGAGCCTAGTCTCACATGGGTTGGACCAGATGACGCCAAAAGGCGCACAACTCAAAGACAATGCACCATCAGAGTATGAGAGCTCGGGGCAAGCTTCTACACTATGGGAACAATGCACCATCAGAGTATGAGAGCTCAGGGCAAGCATCTACACTATGGGATGCTTGCCCCGAGCTCTCATACTCTGATGGTGCATTGTCTTTGAGTTGTGCGCCTTTTGGCGTCATCTGGTCCAACCCATGTGAGACTAGGCTCTAAGGAAAGCTGTCTCGGGTGTGGACCAATCAACTTCAAGGACAGTGCACATTATCAGAGTTATGTTCTTTTGTTTGTATTATGACTGCGAGTATTGCGGTCTATGCAAACATGACTCCTTGTAAAAAGGTGTCAGTTTTGTTGCCAGATAGAAGGGTAAAAAAACAATTATCAAATTGGAAGATTATTACTACTCCTGGCGACTTAAGCCACATCCAACTAAGACAGCATCCCCAGCATTCCATCTCAACACCGCAGAGGAAAAAAGTACGCTGAAGATCGCGTTTTGTGGTAAAACGTCACCAATGGCCCACTCCCAAAATACCTTTGAGTGGTGCTCAATCAAAGTCTCACTCTCAAGCAACACATTGAGTGGTTAAGCAACAAGAAGAAAACCCGCATGAACATTATCCATAAACTGGCAGGAACCATACACCTGAAGACGGTCGCTTGTGTTGCGATCGAAACGTTGAAACGTCGTGATCTATAATTTTTTCTACCGACGTGACTTTACCAAAAGAACCAAAGAGTATGGATTCCTGCAGTCACGATAGCTTCAAATCAAGATTGGCAGGAACCAGTTGGGGCTGTGATGCGCAAACACTACGGACTGCACACTCGCCCTCGTTTATTCGATGGGAGAGTATTGCTCATCTGTGTGGGGACACAGTGCTCACACTCAAGTTATCGACACACAACTAAACATCGCAATGCGTGCCATTTCAGGTATGCTGAAGTCGATGCCGACCCAGTGGCTCCCAGTGCTCACCCAGATTGCTCCGCCGCATATCCGTCGTGAAACAGTGGCCGTCAGGGAGTACCAAATAAATTCTCGTCAACCCGCACCTTGCGATACATCTGGACATAAACCCAGTGCTGCCTGTTCGCCTGAAATCACGTCACCCCTTCTGGATCACAGCAGCCTCACTCCATGCCACAAATATAAATGAAGGCGAAAGATGGACTGCGGCCGACGTCAAAAATAAATGTCATACAGGACCCTACCATCAAACTTCCCGGTTTCAACCTTCCATGCCGCCAATGGTCGACCATCAACCAAATCGGGACCAGGCATGGCCGATGCAGCCAACCGATGCACAAATGGCGCATCAAAGATTCGGCGGTCGCGAGTGCGGCCATCAATCCAAAACGATCGACCACATTGTAAACAGCTGCTGTCTTCACTCTTTTAAAGGAGGAACAGACGAAATCCACTCTGCGCCTGAACAGACAATTGAGTGGATAACAAATCTAAAATTACATCTTTAATCTGCTACTATGAATCCATATGAAAGAATAAGATATGATTAAAACAGTGAAGTTTGAAAACTGTCATCTACTTTAGTGTCCAATCTGACACCAGTACAATATAATTAGCTACTCTGCCTCACTACACATTCTCAGTGAATTTTATTTCCCCCGTATTTGACAGTAACCAAGATCCGTGCTGTATAATATCTGTACAGTTGCAGGACACCATTGAAATAAAGCTTAATCGTTTATTGAGCACTTTCTGTTGAAATACATACAACATTTTTATCTACTATAAATAATGGAACATTTTTCTAAACATGCTGATTAAAAAAATATAGCTCTAGCAGACATTATGGTGAGAATTACAAAAAAAACAGGATCTGTAATTTTTTCAAATGTATATAATTGATTAATGTAACCTCTCAGAGACAACACAATTAATACTTGCACATCTTAACGCAATACTCAAGCCTCACAGTCGCCTTCACTGCCCGTGTCTCTGCATCTCTCCACATGTCTCTGTCTCTACCCATTTGGGGGCAAGGGGGAGGGGCAGTTGTTCCCTCCGACTACATTTTGGAAGGCTATTATAGGTCACAGTGACTTTTGGTTATCACTGAGAACACACCAAATTGCCGTTCTGTGCTTGTGAACTAATTTGCTGTTTCAATGGAAACTGCAGTCCTCGCTATAACACTCTCCTTACCATGAAGTCAGTTTGTTTGATTTTGTTTCCATGTAAAACAGCCAGGAATCACATTACGGGTGAAGAAACATTCCTCTCACCTAGGGAGATTCTTCAGGTCGTCCAGTAGAATCCGCACTTGTTCCGTCTTCTTCTTGAATCTCTTATCTGTCAGGGCAGCAGCAGCAGCATCGAAAAGCACTCGAGTCAACTGAAGCTGAATTTATGGGGTCACAACTCGAGTCCATTGAGTCAAACTGTCTTACCGGGGTTGCACTCCAGGCCACTGACTCAAACCGGATTGCTAGAGTCATACTCAAGTCCATTGAATGAAACCGGATTACCGGGATCACACTCGAGTCCATTGACTGAAACTGGATGACAGGGTCTCACTGAAGTATATTGACGAATGCTTCCGGGCTTCCAGGAGCATGGGATAGTGGTCTCCTCAATTGGTCTTCTGAGCTCGCAGTGGAAATGTTCTATTCCCATGGCAGACATGGTAACATGCTTCCTAAAACACTGTAATTTGTATTGGACTCAGACTAACTGTAATCAGTGCACATTATCAGTTGTTGCATTTTTCACTGATTAATGTATTGTAATGAGAATGGACGTAACATTGTAATTCATCATCATCATCATGAGACCTAATTTGCCAGTACCAAAATATAAGAATACGTTTTTCCCCTTTTTTGGCGTCTTGTGGTTTAGCACCGTTTGAGACGGGGCTCAAAAGAAAGCTTTCTCTGGTGTGGACCAATCAGTTTCAAGGACAATGCATATATTATCAGTGTTTTTTTTGTTTTCATTCTGACCACAAGTATTGTGGTTAATGATGACATAATTCCTTGTAAAAAGGTTTCAGTTTTTTTGCCAGAAAAAAGGGGAAAAAACTTATTCTTATATATTCTTAGGTTTTTTTTCGGTAAAGTCACGTAGGTAAAAAATTAAAATTAAAATTAATAAAAGTAAAATAAAATAAAAATTTAAAATCACGACGTTTCGGAGGCAACACAAGCCTCCGTCTTCAGGTGGAACCGTCACAGCCACGACAGCTGTATCAAGTAAATGAGCGATTACAAGAGATACCACTCCGTATATATAATGGTTGAGGGGGGAAGGGCCAGGAACGGCACACTTTTTATTAATATGGTAAGGTGAGGCTTAAGACTAAGAATAGACTGCATAACAAAAGACTGAGCCTTTGTTATGGAGAGGTGCGGTTTGTGACTACGCCTAGCCTACATCTCAAAAGTGTGAAAAAAGAAAAACTAAACCTGGTTAAACAAAAACTGGCTGTCTATCAGTAACCTGTAATAGTTGTCTGTCAAATAAGATGGTCCAAATAAGTGTAGTTAAATCTTTTTTGCATGGTTAATCACATCTTTCCAATGATTACTCTGTTTGTAACCATCATCACGATTGAAATTATGTCTGTGTTTGTATATTTGTATGGCTTCGTGTACAAACCTTTGATGGTAGCCAGGAGGTTTGCAGAGCACCTTGGTCTCGGAAAAGACAATTTCATGAGAGCCCACAGAGTTGTAGCAATGATTGGCAACGGCCGAAGAATCAGTTCAGCCGTGTTTCAGATCTGACTTGTGCTCGCGGACACGATCAGAAACATGACGTTTCGTTTCTCCAATGTAGCAATCACCACAACTGCAACTCAGTTTGTAGACTCCAGGATACTGTAAGTCAGGAACGACATCCTTCACAGATGGAATCAGATCTCGGATTTTATGCACTGTACTGAATCGGACTTGGATCTTATGTTTGTTTAGAATTTTGGAGATCTTTTTGGTCACGCCTGCTATGTATAGTAATGTGATAGTTTTGGTCGGAGTTTCATGTGGCTGTTTCTGTATGGTGGGAGAAACAGCTTGGCGGATGGTGCGGTCAGAGTATCCGTTCATCCTGAGGGCCCGATGTACATGTCTTAATTCACCGGCCAGGTGGTGTTGGTCAGAAATGCCATGGGCTCTGTGGTATAGCGCTTTGATGAGAGCATTCTTTTGAGATGGGTGGTGGTGGGAATCCGGTTTCAAGTAGAAATCTGTGTGGGTGGCTTTCCTGTAGACAGAATGTCCCAAAGATCCGTCAGGTCTCCTCTCAAACAGAATATCCAAGAATGGTAGTTTACCATCTTTCTCCACTTCCATGGTGAATCTGATGGATGGGTGTCTGGAATTGATGTGGTCCAAGAAGTGGTTCAATGCTGGGAGGCCATGTGGCCAGATGACGAAAGTGTCATCCACATACCTCTTCCACAGGGAAGGACGCAGGGTGGATGTCTGGATGGCGTCTGATTCAAACTTTTCCATGAACATGTTGGCTATCACTGGTGACAAGGGGGAGCCCATAGGGGTACCGTCATTCTGTTTGTAGAAGGTGCCATTCCAGGGACATTCTGTCTACAGGAAAGCCACCCACACAGATTCCTACTTGAAACAGGATTCCCACCACCACCCATCTCAAAAGAATTATCTCATCAAAACGCTATACCACAGAGCCCATGGCATTTCTGACCAACACCACCTGGCCGGTGAATTAAGACATGTACATCGGGCCCTCAGGATGAACGGATACTCTGACCGCACCATCCGCCAAGCTATTTCTCCCACCATACAGAAACAACCACATGAAACTCCGACCAAAACTATCACGTTACCATACATAGCAGGCGTGACCAAAAAGATCTCCAAAATTCTAAACAAACATAAGATCCAAGTCCGATTCAGTACAGTGCATAAAATCCGTGATCTGATTCCATCTGTGAAGGATGTCGTTCCTGACTTACAGTATCCTGGAGTCTACAAACTGAGTTGCAGTTGTGGTGATTGCTACATTGGAGAAACGAAATGTCATGTTTCTGATCGTGTCCGTGAGCACAAGTCAGATCTAAAACACGGCAGAACTGATTCTTCGGTCGTTGCCGATCATTGCTACAACTCTGTGGGCTCTCATGAAATTGTCTTTTCCGAGACCAAGGTGCTCTGCAAACCTCCTGGCTACCATCAAAGGTTTGTACACGAAGCCATACAAATATACAAACACAGACATAATTTCAACCGTGATGATGGTTACAAACTGAGTAATCATTGGAAAGACGTGATTAACCATGCAAAAAAGATTTAACTACACTTATTTGGACCATCTTATTTGACAGACAACAATTACAGGTTACTGATAGACAGCCAGTTTTTGTTTAACCAGGTTTAGTTTTTCCTTTTTCACACTTTTGTTATGTAGGCTAGGCGTAGTCACATACCGCACCTCTCCATAACAAAGGCTCCGTCTTTTGTTATGCAGTCTATTCTTAGTCTTAAGCCTCACCTTACCATATTAATAAAAAGTGTGCCGTTCTTGGCCCTTCCCCCCTCAACCATTATATATACGGAGTGGTATCTCTTGTAATCTCTCCTTTACTTGATACAGCTGTCGTGGCTGTGACGGTTCCACCTGAAGACGGAGGCTTGTGTTGCCTCCGAAACGTCGTAATTTTTTATTTATTTTTATTATTTTATTTTACTTTTATTTATTTTAATTTTTTACCTACGTGACTTTACCGAAAAAAAACCTAAGAATATGAATCCTTGCAGTCACGAAAGCTTCAAATCTAGAACTATTCTTATATCTTGTAACATTGTAAGTAAAGAGAATTGTTTACAAATTAATTGATCTGTAATTTAAAACTAGATATTCACATTGACTTACAATAAACTAGATTTTAGTACTTATGTAGTGGGTTCACTCGTGACACAGGCGACGTAGTTGAGGCACAACGTTTATTTCAACACTGGGCAATGATACAACATTTGAAGGGGTAACGGCCCCTTCACCCATCCTGAACAGGGAAGACCCCTAGCACTATCCCCGGCTGGTCTGCTCCTAGGTCCTTCGCTAAGAGTGCTAGGGGAGGCTGTCTGATCCGGCTCTGGTTAAGCACGGATCATGGCACCCAGCCGACCAGACCGGCTCTTATAAGAGCATCGGCTCTGAGGCTCTCAGGGCCGCGCCTCTGGCTTGCCCTGCCCGGCCCTGAGGACAGCGAGCCAGGGGAGTTCCAGGGCCTATCTGCCGGTCTTCCGTCTTCACTGGTTCAGCTTTCGTGACTGCAGGGATTCATCTTCTTGGTTCTTTCGGTAAAGTCACGTAGAAGGGAAGTAATAAAATAATAAAAATAAAACATAATAAAATAATTCTCACGACGTTTCGGCCACAACGCAAGCAGCCGTCCTCAGGTGAAAACCAGGTCTGTCGGGGAGACAGCGTCTGAATGAAACAGCACACGAGCTTGGAGCATATATATAAGCTGGGTTGGAAGGGGGGGAAAGGGCGCTTCGACAAAAGAATTTGCATATCAAGAGGAATTTAGCATATTTATGGGAAATGCAGGAATGTGATTGGTACTACATAATGCCCGTGCATTATGCAGGACTCGCAGCATCAAAGGGAGGGGATAGGGGTAGCATTAATAAAGGGAAGGAGTGTTAATAGTATGTAGCTGCAGTAACTAAAACCAACACGTAAACAACTAAAGTATAAACTACATAGTATCATCAGTATACTAACTATACTCTACAATAAGCTGAGTTACTAACTGTAAGTAATACATTACAATTCTACATCGTAAAAATTATATAATATGCTTCCATCTAAACTTTATTCTCTTACATCACACGAGTCTATATAGTAATACATTACAATTCTACGTCGTAAAAATTATATAATATGCTTCCATCTAAACTGTATTCTCTTACATCACACGAGTCTATATAGTACGGTGTAGACTCGTGTGATGTAAGAGAATAAAGTTTAGATGGAAGCATATTATATAATTTTTACGACGTAGAATTGTAATGTATTACTTACTGTTAGTAACTCAGCTTATTGTAGAGTATAGTTAGTATACTGATGATACTATGTAGTTTATACTTTAGTTGTTTACGTGTTGGTTTTAGTTACTGCAGCTACATACTATTAACACTCCTTCCCTTTATTAATGCTACCCCTATCCCCTCCCTTTGATGCTGCGAGTCCTGCATAATGCACGGGCATATGTAGTACCAATCACATTCCTGCATTTCCCATAAATATGCAAAATTCCTCTTGATATGCAAATTATTTTGTCGAAGCGCCCTTTCCCCCCCTTCCAACCCAGC